TCCCATGCTCTGCGAGCCTGGTATGCTATCAAAGGATGATGGAGACCCTCACTCTCAAACGACTTTAGCCACTCTAGAATTGATCTGTGGCCCTTTGGTTTTAAATCTGTCCATATGTTATGAGTTTGGCTGGTAAAACGGAACGGGGGGGCGGGAGGGGGGTCGAGGGGGGTTTGAGCATGTTGGATAGGCAGGTGTAATATTAAAAGATGACTAAAGTGAACATGTGCATTCTTGCTTCTCATCTATTCCCTCCACTTCATTGACATGGATTATGAGAGCCTTCTATCCATGAGTGATTTAATGAAGGACTTTTGTGGGACTACCCACATTATCTAGTAAGTAGCCGCAGCCAGAGACAGCAAATGACGGCGTATATGGATGCAGTTATTGTGCATATAATGACAGAGGCTTCTAGGTCCCTGGAAGGGCATCGTAAAACTGTGCTACCGCTATCACTGCTCGGTGCCTTTAGTCAGGGATCGTTGTGGGAAATTTATTAATTTGGGGAGGAGGACATTACAACTCATTAAAACATTTATGTCGTAATAAAGCCAGGACAGTTCAACTGAGTTTTTATCCATCGTGCAATCACACTGACATCTGAAAAGTTAGAGAATTAAATATGGCAACTGCTACAAATCAAAATGTTTGTGAATGAGAGCAAATAGTTGCTGCAAATCTTTTTGTTTTTGGTTCAGATTATTTTTATATTTTTACGTTCCCATTTCATTTTTGGCACAGAGGTCGTATTTTAAACTTTTATGCAATCTTTATGAGTAATTGTAGAAGATGTGTTGCTACATCTTCAACCTCGGTTAATTTATTTTCCTTTTTTTCCTAATATTCTTGTATTAGAGCTTTGCATGATTCTTATTTCACAACATTTAGACGTATGTAGTTGGCCAACACCTACAGTCACTGCGTCACTGTTATAACACAAGTTTGGTTATTGCTACAGCAAACACACAAACTGGCAGGTCAGGTTAAATTTGTAAAGTCTGTGAATATGAAAAATGGGTGGAGAAAAGGGAGGACAACGACTCATGAACAGGACATGAGGAACGGCCGTGGTCTTTCCATGGAGCAGGTGTGAGTTCAAATGAAAACCTCCTGGAGAAATTGGACCGACTTATCAACAACAACATCCTCTAAACGACAGACAGGAAATTATCTTTTAGAAACAATGCCCCCTGTTGTTCGTGTGGTGTTCCAGATGCTGCTGTTTTATGTTATTCTGGGCCAAACACATTACTGAACCTCTTTTCTTTCAATTTTTTTTTCTTCTGAAAAATAATTAAATTTCATCTGTCTGACCCTGGTACTGTCTAAGGTAGGAGCAGAGATAAACTCCAAACACACTTCAGATAGACTCAATAATATTTGTCTTTTAAAAAAAATATTATTTCACCCATTTTAAAAAAAACATTTTGAAGAGTTTTTTTTTTTTTTTAGTGGAGGGAAGATAAAAGGTGTTGCAGTGCAAGTCAAAGCGCAGTGCAGATGAGAAATGAGAGAAGATCCAAATCAGCACATCGGGATTCATACTGAGTATAAGGTACAGAGTGATGCAGGAAGGGAGGGGTGAGATGAGGGGCAACCCCCCTTTCTAGATGAGGGATTCCTTTACTGCAGTGATCAGCACTCTCCGCCCCTTCCCTCCCTCCATTCGTCTATAGCCTCATTCTCTTTTTCTTCTTCCTCGTCCTCGTGCTGCCTTTACCCCGACACACAGCTTTTACTCCTTTTTAGCTCGCTCCTCCTCCTTCTCCTTCTCCGTCCCTTCCTCTCCCTGCTGCTCTGCTACAGAAAAACCCACCGCACACTGTAGTCACGTTTCAGTGTGGAAGGAACTGTCTGCTGCAGGATACGGTACATGCAGCACATGGTTAGCGACGCAAGCTCACTCGTGACTCACACCCTTTTACTCCAGCCTTCATTTATATATATCTCTCTCTCTCTCTCCCCTGCTGCTCCTCCATTTATCCCCACATTCTCCCTCCTCCAACCCTTCTTTTCCTTTCAGCTTGTCTGTCCATCTCCACAGTCTCCCTCGTTGCCCCTCTCATTTTTTTCCTTGTGCCCTCCTGCCCCCCGCCAGCCCACCCCCCTTCCAGCCCAGTGACATTGATTCCAAGGTTGCTGAGCTATTGACTGCTGCTACACTGTTAAATATTTCAGGCAGCGTTTCAGGGACTGTGTGTCGGGGGTTTGTGTGGGGGCGGCGGTGTTTCACTCAGTTGCTTTGCAAGTACCGGTGACAAACAGGCGGGTGAACAGACGGACTGACGCTCACACTCGCTACATGTACACCACAACCACCTGCGCACACACAGAGGTGCATTCACTCATGCGCGTCTCCTTACACTTGGATGTACACACAGCTCTATATATTTGCATAGATGTATGACAGCAGCCTGTGTCTGGGTGTGTGGCCCAGTGCTCCTGCTGCTGCGGGTGGTGGTGGCAATGGTGTGCGTAAATTGATGCAATCTTTCCTCCAGGATTTAAGCACCAAGAAGCTAATGAATGAGTGCAGCTCTCTTGGACTTTTCCCTGCAGTATGTGCAGTTATTTCAGAGCAGTCGAAAATGCCTTCCTCAGCACGTCGATACGGTGCGACGGTAATTAGTATTCTCATTCGGGACGTACGCGTCCAATTGTTTTACTGAAGAATTACTGCATCTTTCACTCATCTGTGGCCTTGAAGTGATGTGATGAGGTATTAGTCCTGCATTAGTGCTGCAGTGGTGAAAGATATACTGTATATAAATGTATAAGGAGACGGCCGGAGATGGAGTGAATTGTGTTTAAAGTTTAACTAAGAATTTATTACCAAAAGTCAAAATCAATTTATAGACTTAGTATGTTTAATATTCAGAGTTATATTCCTGGCCTCACACTGACACACTGACAGCAATTAGAAGTACAAATATAAAACTTGGACTTGTCCCTCCATGACACCTCTGCCCATTGATCTCTGGTTCAGTCCTGGTCTAAGCACACACTTTCCTTTGTAGCTGCTTCTCAGAATCTTTTGAATTTTGGCTTCTGTCAAGATAAAGAACGGGAGGCCAAGACGTATTCTTTATGTCCTGGGAAGTTCTTTGGAGTTTCCTTGATCTTTTACTTTTCAGGAATTCACTTTCGGATAAAAATAAAAAACAGGAATAAACAGCTCTTTATTTATATATCTTGATTACTGCCTTAGTCATCAATCCTAGTTAATGTTTGTAGAAGCTTGATTGGTGATTTCAAGTCTTGACGTGCTTGCTAATCATCGTGTCTCATCATGTACTTCCATTGTCAACTTTTCAAACTACTCTCTTTGATTCACATTCTTAGCTTAGCTGTAATAACTGGTGTGCAGCGTCTGAGGTGGAAATGCTGCGTTTCCGTCTCTGAACTCTGAGAATCTCAATAGTGGAGGAGTCAGTGTTGCAG